GTTGGGGACACCGGGGACACCGGGGGGTTTGGGTTTGGGGGGGTTTTGGGGGATTTTGGGACATTGGGTGGAGTTGGGGACGTTCGGGGTGTTGGGGACATTGGGGACATTGGGGTTGGCTTTGGGGTCCTGGGCAGGACTTTGGGATTTTCAGGGTCCCTGGTCAGGTTTTGGGGTCCCGGGGTCGGTTTTGGGGTCCCGGGGCCATTCTGGGGGTCCCGGGGTCGGTTTTGGGGTCCCGGGGCCGGTTTTGGGGTCCCAAGGCCATTCTGGGGGTCCCGGGGTCGGTTTTGGGGTCCCGGGGCCGGTTTTGGGGTCCCGGGGCCGGTTTTGGGGTCCCGGGGCCGGTTTTGGGGTGCCCCCCACCTGTCTCTGGCAGCCCTCGACGATGATGAGCTTTTGCTGGGGGGAGGTGCGGGCGAAGACGATCTCGGTGTGGTTCTGCAGGATCTCATCGATCTGCTCCGAGCTCATGTCCTTCAGGTCCGTGCCGTGGATCACGCACGCCTTGGCGTCCCTGGAACCCAAAAAACCCCAAAAACGGCACTGAAAACCCCAAAAATGGCTCTGAAACCCCAAAAATGGCTCTGAAATCCCAAAAAATGGCTCTGAAATCCCAAAAACAGCACTGAAAACCCCAAAAACGGCACTGAAAACCCCAAAAATGGCTCTGAAACCCCAAAAATGGCTCTGAAATCCCCAAAAATGGCTCTGAAATCCCAAAAACGGCACTGAAAACCCCAAAAATGGCTCTGAAAACCCCAAAAATGGCTCTGAAACCCCAAAAATGGCTCTGAAATCCCAAAAACGGCACTGAAAACCCCAAAAATGGCTCTGAAAACCCCAAAAATGGCTCTGAAACCCCAAAAATGGCTCTGAAATCCCAAAAATGGCTCTGAAATCCCAAAAATGGCTCTGAAACCCCAAAAAATGGCTCTGAAATCCCCAAAAATGGCTCTGAAATCCCAAAAATGGCTCTGAAATCCCAAAAAATGGCTCTGAAATCCCCAAAAATGGCTCTGAAATCCCAAAAATGGCTCTGAAACCCAAAAAAATGGCTCTGAAATCCCAAAAATGGCTCTCATATCCCAAAAATGGCTCTGAAATCCCAAAAATGGCTCTCATATCCCAAAAATGGCTCTGAAATCCCAAAAATGGCTCTCATATCCCAAAAATGGCTCTGAAATCCCAAAAATGGCTCTCATATCCCAAAAATGGCTCTGAAATCCCAGAAGTGGCTCTGAAACACCAATCCTGGGGCTCCCCTGGCCCACCTGGACTCACCTGGGGTTCACCTGAGCTCACCTGGACTCACCTGGGGTTCACCTGAGCTCACCTGGACTCACCTGGGGTTCACCTGGACTCACCTGGGGTTCACCTGACTGATCTGAGGCTCACCTGGGGTTCACCTGGACTCACCTGAGCTCACCTGAGCTCACCTGGACTCACCTGGGGTTCACCTGGACTCACCTGGGGTTCACCTGGACTCACCTGGACTCACCTGAGCTCACCTGGACTCACCTGGGGTTCACCTGAGCTCACCTGGGGTTCACCTGGACTCACCTGG